TTGCTTGGTTTGGATAAATAATATTTTTCTTTATTTTTCTTTTGGGTATTTTTTGTATTTTTTGGGTGAAAAGGGAAACTACCTATATGAATGTGATGAAGGTAGATGTTAACACCGTATAATGGAAGATTCTTATTCCTATTTATTCTTATTTTTAAAAGTATAGGAATGTTGTATGTTTAAAGAAAAGCAATGAATGCTCTAAAAGTCATGAAAATCCTGCAAAGTCTTTTAAAATCTGCAGGATTTTTTTTAACTAAAAAAGTCCTTTAAAATCCTAATCCAATACACCCCCCTTAAAATCACACATACAAATCAATACGTCAAAGAACTTTACAAAGGTTTTTTTTTTTTTTTTTTTTGTATTAGACAAAGGAGCGTTTGAGAAAAAAAATCATTTTTTTATTTAATTAAGTCTTTTAAGTTTATCCTAATAATCATACCATACAAATTAATCGACAGTTGGTATCACATCATATATAATACTTCGTTTGGATTACTATTCAATGAAAATAAGTGACTGAAATATAACTAAAAACAATGATATTATGATTAAAATTCGTAAAGAAACTCTAAACCTCCCTAAAATCTATTCGTACACACTGAAATGAATCTTAGAAAAAATACGAAAGATATAATTATTTCCAAATTACTAAACACTCAAGAAAAAAAATACACAACTTCAATAATAATAATAATAATATGTTTTTAAATATATTTTATATTTGAATAATAAAAAAATCAAATATTTATTTCTTTGTAATTTATTTTATTTAAATTTAGTTTATACTTTAATATTTTTTACAACTTTATACTTTGTTCATATATATATATATATATATATATTAAAAATACATTTTCTTAATTTTTTAATTAAAGAAAAAAAATAAAATAAAAAAACACATTGTCACTTTGTCAGACCTCCCATACTAGAGTTTTCGATGTAGAACAAAAGTGTGACATATTAAAAAATAATATTTACAATTTTAAGATTAAAAAAATTTGGTGTGTAAAATTGTACTAGAGAATCTTCTGAAAACCCTCCATCCTTGATACTTCCTATAGCAACTCCCTCATTTTAATTCAATAAATTTTGACGCCGAAGGTAAAGAGCGTGTTAGAAGCGCGTCGTAAAGAGTTGACACTCCTCGGAAATAAAAAAAAACACTTGTCCTTTTGGCTTCCACCACTACCATCAACACCTGACTTCATCACGAAGTCTTCTTCTTGTACCGTTTCATGTTCTTCCCACCAACTTTATAACTTCTCTTTCTTCCTCTTCCTCTGTCCTAAGCCAAAACATCACAACATCAACCATCGAATGCTACAACAGATGCCTTCTATCTGGTTTCTTAAACTAGCCCTAAAATGCTTTGATCATGTCGCATGGTACGCAATGCGTCTTTATTCTTCATTATTTCCTCACTCCATATTCCTTACGTACTTGATCGCGCATCAAAATCTTATCTTACACTTTTGTCTACATATTGTTTCTCCAATGTTGTACCTGTACTTGGTCTCTTACTATGTATGGTTCAATGCTAGCTAACTAATTGTTTTATTATCATTATTATTTATTTATTTTCTTTATTTTGTAGGCCTCTTCTTGCGTTGGGGTATCCTCTGTAAGTTTCTCATGGCTATTTATTCAAAAAATTGCTGCTGTTGTTTTGGCTTTGTTGATTGTGATTACGTCTTTTTTTTTTGTGTTTTTGACAGATGTGCTTCCGTACAAGCAATCGAGACTGATTCCTATAAAGAAACTAGGGACTTAGTCTCATATTGGATACTTCTCTCCTTAATATACCTCTTTGAGTATGCATTTTCGAGGCTTCTTCTATGGTAAGTCGTTTTACATGGTAGTATGGTAATTGGTAAGAGACAAAGAGCATTTTTTTTTTCTCAATAGTGAAACTTAGTAACTTCTTTTTCTTTGACTGGTATTCAGAATCTGATTGAACTCTAAGATCAATGTTGGAGGATCAATCAATGCACTTCCAATGTGTCACGAATTTTCTATTTTTTTTTAATAAAGAGATTAGGACGTGGAATTCCTTCTAGGACTTTTTTCCCTTCTTTTTTGTGTGTTCTGAGGGTATTCCCTAATTGACAGACAAAATTAATTTCATTCAAGGTATAGAGATTTCCAACATGAGCTATCTCTTTTGTTGCTTCAAAAACTATTTTGAAGCAACATTTTACTTTACTCTTTGCATTACTTCTAGAGCCTTGGTTCTGTGAATTGAAAGCAAATTGAGATCCGAGTTGGTTGGTCCTGAAGCGTAATTTAGTCAAAAACAAATTGCTCTATTTCATGGAGCCATAACCATGATGAATAATACATAAATCTGTAGTAAATGTTGTGACAGAGAAGATGCATGCTGCATTATTCTAGGTTTCTTCACTATAGAAATGAATTGCATAATATTGGTTAATAGACTAGCTTATTTTATACTGTACTGTACTACAGACCCCTAACCATTCTATAATACAAGCAATTCATTCTATCAATATATTAAGATGGTTTGAATGTCAAGAATCGATATGAGCATTCTTTGGATAAACAGTATTTTCATTTTCTGAAGTTGGGATTTTATAATTCAGTTATCAATTATTGATTTTCATTTGGTTAAGCTGAATAGCATACGTTTATCTAGTTAATTTATGTCTTAGCTTTTGATGAAACTCAGCCAAGTAATAGAAATAAATTATGAATGTGGATATAATTATTTCAACTTAGTATTCTACATATTTTTACTGTTTTTATCATCTAATGGCTTCTTAAAGTTGAACTTGTATTGAATGTGATTATAATTAAATAAAATTGGTTGTAGCAAATGGTTCTTTTCATTTTGTTTTTCTGAGTCAGTTTTTGAATATGTTTAACTTTTTCAGTTTTTCATTCACATGTTTAACATCAGGTTCCAATTCTGGCCATACATTAAGCTAATGATCATCTTCTGGCTCATCATACCAGACTTCGGACAAGCCTCTAATGCCTATAACCTTATTCGCTCTTGCATCTCCTTAAATCCACATGCAGTCATATGTAGGTTAAATAACTGGAGGAAGTTTTTTGTCAAGAAAGATGACTTTTTACTGCATGCGGAAAGATATGTAAAAGAGAATGGAACTGAAGCCTTAGAGAAACTCATTGCCAGCAAGGTAAACATCTACATTGCTAAGTTTGTGTACCCATAAAAATGTATGAATCTGGCAATTGAAAATTTAAGCTAATTCTCCTGTTCTCTTATTGAAGAACATAACTTATAAACTTGATGCTGAAGCAACAAATGCAATTAGAGCCACTGATAATAAAGAAATGCAACAGGTCAAGTTTTTTTATGTTATTATTGCAGTTGTATCATTAATATAATTCTTGTTACAAGTTCTTGTTTGAGTCAGCTCCACCCATCCCGGTTTCGTTGTGAGTGTGCTTATTGAAAGAGCATCTTGTGCAGACAATTGAGAAAAAGCTCCAAACAGAGCACAAAGCCTTCAAAGATTTAGAGGTCATCGAGAAAAGAGAAAATCCTGCTAGCAAACAAGTAAGGTTTCTTATCATATTCATTCAAAATAGTAATTTCTGAATGACAGGTTAAAACTTTAGGCTTGAGGCTATGGTGAATTGTGAAAGGTTTTGGCTTATAAATACGTTTGAATTATGTGGATATGGTCATCTAGAAATCTTGATAGTCATTTGTTGGTGGTGATGGAGACAAATTTCAGCAATACTATTCTTATTTTTATTCGAGGTTTTTATGTATTTTCCTCTGAAAATAAAATACTGTCAATATATTCTATTCTTATTTAAATAAAAGCTAACCTTCCGTTGTTGATTGTCACACTCACTCCTAACATAGTAAAGTCCCAGGGTGGCCATGGACTTGAGAGGATTTCTTTTAAGTGCTTGAATTAGTTATATTGTCTTTTGTTTTTTCTTCTACTTTTCATTGATTCTAATGTGATTATAGTTGTTTTTATTCTTATCAATAGATCTTTTAGTGCAGTGTTCCTTTCTTTTATTTTTTTTCTTTTGATTGCAAAAAAAAACAAGGTGAAACTATGGGAAACAAGTGGTGAAAAATTTGAGCAATGAGCAAAGGGCTCGACACTTTTGAAGTTTGTCATCTTTAGAAAATGAAGGATCAAAGATAATATTTTGTTTTCTAATCCACATATAAAGAAGCTTAATAGGGTTTGCATTTGCACCTCTTCTCACAACTCAGAAGAGGCCTAGTTTGAATTATCTCCTTTAATTCATGAGTAACTGTAGTAATATATAATGTTTTTTTTTTCAAAAATATGTATTCTACTGATCATATTGGGTCTGGTTACAATAAGTACTTTACCTCTATGTTAATCTTGAATATTGCAGGATATTCCTGTTGTGCCTAACCATGCGCCAAGTCAGAATGCTTCACCAGCCATGGTGGAAACTAAAGGAATTGTGGGGAAAGAGACAGCCGGTGTAGAGCTTCCTCAGAGTTCTACACATAAGGAAATGCAGAAGGAGTGGACTTGTGCTTTATGTCATGTAACAACTTCAAGCGAGAAAACTTTGAATGAACACATGCATGGGAGGAAACACAGGGCTACTTGTGAAGCTCTGAAAGTAAAGAATCAACCTGTTTCTCAGAAGCTGCGGAGTGATCAGTACAAAGAGGCATTGAAACAGAAGAACATTATCAATCAGAAAAATTCCAAGACCAAGGATGGAGAGAGTATAGTTAACAACATGTTGAAGGGAGGAAAAGAAGTCATGGATCAGAAGGTGCAAAATCCGCAAAAGAAACAATATGTACCTGCTGGGACGAATCATCCCAAATTCAGATGTGAAATCTGTAATGTCAAATGCCCTTGCGACATTACCTTGGCCTCTCACAAAAATGGGAAGAAGCATATGGAAAAAGTTAGAAGTTTAATCTGAAGTATATATGTATTAAGTTGTAGACGAGTTTTCCTTGAAAGGAAGTTTAGATATATAATATAGAGCCTGTTAAATTGTTATCTAGTGTACATTCTGGATGTTCCACTTTTTACTCCACTTTCACACATATCGTAGTTAACCCAGCCACTCGTTGAACCACCTTATGATTAAGACCATGAACTCGTTCATTTTTGCATCATAAGGATATTGCAGCATATTTAATTATTTATTAGTTATTACAGCTGCCCTCTTGGGTTTCAAATCCATGAGAGTTTATTTATTTGTTTAGAGACTATATGCAACTTCGATGAGAATCTCATGTCAGTTGATTTGCATGAGTTGACAAAGTTTGGAGTTAATACAAAATTTTTGGTGTTTAGTAATTCTCTTGCTTTTTTATTGATTCCTCTTCATCAGAGAGGAGAAATTATTCGGTAGTTTGGAATTACCATATTTTCTTCCAATTTTTACTGACATAAAATATAATTTTATTAATTCTTTCTCGTAAGAAATGATTTCGGACTGGGAAGCACCTTATTTTGTTACCGCGTAATTAACTAATAAATTTTGTCTAACCTGTAGCCCCTCTCCTCTCATAGATGAAGAAAAAACTCGAACAAAATCCCTAAATTTTGGTTGTATTACACAAAAATTTTGGTGCTATTCTCTGTTCTCTGATAGTCTAAACTACGCCACTCCTAACAGTTTATTAATGACGGTATATGTAAAGCAACTCAACTTTCTTTTCTTTCATTTGGGTGAATGAATAATGCATACGATACTATATACTACCGACTTCCTCCATGCTTCAAGGTGTAAAAATTAGTTTCACCAAATTGATGAAATCGTGTGCTGCTTTCCCTTCAGGCGTAGCTGCATCTTCCACAGTCTTCTTCATCTTAAGAGCATTGTCTCTAATCTTTTTCCCCTCTTCCTGCACCAAAATTAGATTCAAGCTTTTAAGCAATCCACTTTTGGTGAACACTCTACCTTCTATTATGACTCCAGTCTCCCAAACACCCTCTATCACTCTCGCAGCCACCCCTTGATCTCCAAAGAATGGCCTGCAGATCATAGGAACCCCACTTGAAAGACTCTCAGTCACAGAGTTAGATCCACAGTGAGTCACAAATACTCCTACCGAATCATGTGCCAAAACTTGGGTTTGTGGAACCCAAGACACTATTTTCCCTCGCGCACTGGTCCTCTCAACAAACCCTTTTGGCAAAAGAGGCAATACATTTTCCTTTAGAGACCAAATAAATGGCAACCCACTTTCTTCCAATGCCTCTGCCATCGCCTCAAGCTCTTGTGGAGATGGAATCACGACAGTCCCACAGGAAACGTATGCCACTGATCTAGAACTCTTCGTATCCAACCATGACAAGCATCCACTTGAATCTGTGACAGACAATGTAGGGAAGCTAACAGGAACAACATAAAACATAGACTGCAACTTGGATCTCATGTCTTGAACAAACAACGGTGGGTCTAATTCCTCAAAGAAATTCACAACTACTGCCTTAGCTTGAGGTAGCACCGTACCCAGCGAAACTAATTCCCTTGAAAAGGTTGTCTCCTTTTCACCAACAAAGAGAAGATCGTGTGGCATATCTACAACGTGCATCATAGGCAAACCGGGAAGGAAATCCATGGTTGCATTTGCATCACAGTTTGCATGGTGTTGACGAATCATGTCAACGTAGAAATATAGAGAAAGTGAGCATGAGACGGGAGGCCAAAACGCGATCCAAGGAACATCGAGTTTCTTGGCCACGAGGAGAGAAGAGGTTACAAAAGCATCGGCGATGATGCAAGTGACTCTCGTCTTTGTTTCTGCTTCCGCCAGTTGTATACCCTTGTGGATGTTGTCAACACCAGTTTTGAGAAAAAAATTCACTTTTTCAATCGGGTGGTTGGCTAGTGGGTGACCCTCTGGGACTCCATCACTTATGTTGTGTGTCTTGATGTTAATCGGTATGTGGGGTTTTGGGAAATTTAGTGCATTAGATTTCTCTGTGGAAATGAATGAGAAAGAACAGTGTGGAGCGGCTTTCGCTAGTTTGATGACAAGGTTCAAGAGAGGAATAACGTGGGTTCCGAAGGGGAAAGCAAACACTGCTATATGTTTGTTTTCTGTTGAGTTTGACATAATTAGGAAGCTGAAACTAAGAGTGAAGAAAGATCAAGAAAACAAATTGTGGCGTCGGAAATGGCCGAACGGGGAGATTGTGAGATTTCCTATCAGAATAGATTTACATTCAACGTCATGAAACGCTGATTCAAACACATGCACATTTACGTAGTGTAACCGTTATCCGGACAACTCGGATCGATTACTTGTTTTAAGGTTATTGTTTTTGGATCAGTTTACTTGTTTTAAGTTTGATTTAACAAAATATCACTGTATGAGCTTCATTAGACAGTTGCAAAAAAACAATCACAACAAAACTTATGAACCTTTTGATCCATCGTTTAATAATCTATATAAATAATAAATGGGATATTACTTTTTTTGTCCACAATTTATTTTCTAATTTTTATCTTTTTATTAATTACCTTAAAAAACTATATGTAACAAAAAAATTACCCATTAATTAACTGTTAAAATATTAATTAACCACTCATTAATTTTATCCTTTCATCCTAGCTACCAGTAATAATAAATGTTAGCCATGTTATCTACTTTTACAATATTTTCTCCTTTTTATAATTAATGTTAGTATTTTTCTATCATTAACTCGTATAAATTATAAATTATTTATTAAATTCATGTGCAAATAATTTATTTTACCTACAATAATGTCTATAACTAACAATATGCTAATATATATATATATATATTATGACCTGTCAACAAAAGGTAAATCTCATTAATAATTGAATAGTTTTTAATTATGTATATTTCAACTTAAATTTTGAAAAAATAAAATAAAAAATATTTTAGTAACACTAGTAAAAAGAGTGATGATATTTTTATATAGAAACTAAATTAAATATGCATGCATTTGTTTAAACAAATGTTTTATTTAAACGATTCTAACAATATTTAAAGTCTGATATAAATAATTTAATTTATTAAACATAATAATAATAATAATTTAATCCAAGTTAACTTCTCAAACTAAATGACTTTTAAATAATAATAAAACTTAAATATATTTTTAATCTCAATAATTTAAACATTTTAAATTTTGAGTCCTATAAAAATATTTGTCATATTAGTCTCTAAAATATTTTTCTGTGTGTTTTTAGTCTCCACCATTAAATTTTTTTTTATTAAAAGATGACATGAAAAACAAAAAATGATATCACCGTGCCATGTGTCATCTATGTAGGCATATATTTTAGGGAATATTAAGTAATAAAAATAATTTTATGAAGGCTAAACAAATACTAAGTTATAGCAACTAAAATGACCAAAATAATTTTATGGGGTTAAAAAATTAAAATATCAAATTTTAGAGACTAATTAAAAAAATATTTAAGTCAATAGGAAAATTATACACTCTCATTCACCACATAATAAACCATTTGTTTTGTCTTTTCAGCATTTGTTTCCTTCATCATCTTAATCACGATAGTCATCACACTAAGCAAGCCAACTTATAAGTTAAACTCACTCTAGTCAAACTACAAGTCATAAACATGAACTCTTTAGTAATGAAACATGCATGTGGTTTTTATCAATTACGAATCTTTCACCACCTCTTCCCATTTGGCTTTATTTTTGCTTGTGTTGTATTTCACTATTTTTCTTATCCACCATCTCTATCTATCCACAAAGTCAAGGATGTTAAAATTCACCACATTTCATTTGATGTTGTCATCATTATATCATCATCTTTAATTTTCGTTATAGTGTCAAATGCAATTATTCAATGTCTTTTGAAACCTTAGGACTAGGAGGGGAAACATTATAAGCTATTCTTTCTTCTCCTTGCCCACTAGATCATGTGAAATGATTGCTTTGGTGTAGGTGTGTCATTGACATGTCACATAAAAAAAAGCCACGTGTCACACATCAAAGATTGCAGTATTGCCAACGATGTTACTAAAAGAATTCATAATTCAGGATTGCAATTTGGTTCGAGTTTAGATTTTGGAATGCCTTGCTTAGTATGGTGTGTTTAGTGGTTGGAATGATATAAGGATAAAAATAGAGAATTTGCATAAGTGGTGGTGAATGATTTTTTTTTCTTTAATGTTATTGTATGGTTTGTATCTTATTTTAATTATGTTTAAATATATTGTTAGTCTTTATATATGATTTTGTATTTATTTTGTTAATTTTTATAAAATTATTTTAATTATTTTAATATTTATATTAAGGTATTTTATATTTTAAGTAACTAGCAAAATTATTTTTTCATTTAAGTTTTTAAAACATAGCACGACATGTGTCACGATGATGTGACATTTTATTTATCACGCCATCATTTATAGAAATTTATTCAATGATAGGAAAAAATCATAAAATGTTTGAAATTAAAGTAATCGAAATAATTTTACTAAAATAATATATATATATATATATCAACTTCGAACTGTAAATCACCCAAAGAAAAAAAATTGTCGAAGTCCAAAAGTACCTCTTTGAATCTAGAAAACTTGTTAACTGAGGGACAATAAAATATTTTATAATATTTTTTTTTATCAAAAATATAATAATTTTTAAAAATATAGAAAACTTGTTAACTGAGGGACAATAAAATATTTTATAATATTTTTTTTATCAAAAATATCATAATTTTTAAAAAGTATATTTTTGTGATAAAAATTTAATATACCTATTATTTATAAATTAAATTTTTTTCACAAATAGAATGATAATTTTTTTTTTTTTTGCGTGATATTATATTTAAGTGTGATGTTGTAATTTTTAGTGACTTATTTAATTTTAGAGGAACAAAATAGTATAAATTATTAAGATAAAGATAATATAATTACTATTTATTATCTTTTGTATCTCTTCTAAATTTTTACGTTTATTTAAAACAAAAATATTTTATAAGAACAACACCTATTTTTTTTTATAAGAGTAAATTTATTTTTTATTAAATATGTTTAAGTAAAAAAATAAATAAAAACTTTGTGTAACAATTACTCACATTCCACTTAATTTGAATCCTCTTCTACCAATAGATAATGTACATATACAAGATTAAAAGGGTTAAAAACTAAAATAAAACTTAAAAAATAATCAATATTTGCAAACTAAATTATGACATCTTTAATGAATAAAGAAGTAATAAAATTTTCAGTCAAAAAATAAAGTATATTATAATACTAATAATAATAAAAATTAAGACAATTTCATCATAAAGTGAAAAAAATTATACAATAGAATAAAATATAAATAAAATATTAATATATTTTAACATATTAGATATAAAAATAATTATTACAAAAAATATTACATATAATTACATACAAAAAGTGTTACTATAGTTTATATTTACATCTTTTTTAATAATATTTCAACATATATTGTATCTGTAGTATATGTAAATAATTTTTAATAACAAGTATCATATCTCTATAAAATGTGTGTCATTACTTAATAATTTTTTTGTAATAAATTAATATATAATTTATGTATATATAAATAAATAAGTGTAAAATTTTAGTGGAGGCAACTGCCCCACTATGATATGAATGGATCCGTCCCTGCTCCGAATTCTGAAAATAAAATAAAACATATTTACATTTAAGACCAACAAACATAAAACATTTGTTATTTATATTCAAAGTGTAACAACCCAGCTAGCCACTACACTCTGCCCAACACCATAGAACCACACAGAAAGGACATGCATATACATAAGCAGCTACAATATATATATATACACGAGGTCCAATATGAGCTAACATCAGAGTATACAAATTACATCCAACAATGCCACACTAGGTAGCTAAAACAACAAAACATCAAAAGAATCAGCTCTGTCTGCCAGCTGCAGACCTGCCTCAACTCACCAACCTAGCCTTGCTCTGCTCCCATACAATGTATGATCATCGCAGTCCAAACACATGGAAACAACAAAGGGTAAGCTAGTGAAAAGAATCATCATACATATATATGAAAATACATGAATAGTAAACAGATACAGCTATCAGCACATCATCAACATACAGCTCATCAACTATACATCATAAACGGAAATAAACACACAATGCGTCGTCACGCATATTAGCTTGGAGATCTCCTATAACAGCTCAGCCTTACGACCTACAACAGCTCAGCCTTACGGCCTAAACCAACTTATATCAACATGTAGCACAACACAACATTCCAGCAATAATAACATACAGCACAGCTCAACATTATACCGCACAGCTTAAACATCATAATTCAGCATTATCATCTAACAGCACAATAATATTCATTATTTACAGCTTAGCTCAGCATATAACAACATCTATCAGCAATTTCAGCATAATTCAACATATATTAGCATATAACAGCATATAAGACAACATATCATCCGCGCCTGGCGCACTCATGGTCGCACCCGGCGTAGCACAATCAGAGAGCATCAGGGCTCAAACGCGCCCGGCACAATACCTATTGCGCCCGGCGTGCTAGGAGGCAGAGACCTCAAAAAGTCTCACACGCCCGGCGTGCAAAACCGCGCTCGGCGCAAGGTAAGTAGAGACTTCCCCAAGGTCTCACGCCCGGCGCAATATCAATTGCGCCTGGCGCCACCTCTGGTAGAGACTCCCAAGGAGTCTCCACGCCCGGCGAGACAGGGTCACGCCCGGCGCCACACCAGAACCATAAAAAACCAAGTTACTTCCTGATATTGCGCCCAGCGCGGTCCCACCACGCCCGGCATAGGCCATCCAGAGGCTCACATTCTCAAGCTCGCCCGGCGCATACACCATTGCGCTCGGCGTGCTTGCCCAAATGGAGCCCTCAGGTGGTCACGCGCCCGCCGCGAAGAACTGCGCTCGGCATGATACTCAGCAGCAACTCACCAAGTTCAAAAATCTCTTCAAAAAATCTGCAAAACAGACAGGAAAATCCACATGCAATCGGCCCAAAACATCACATTTTCATCAAAGAGTTCAAAAACATCATCTTTTTACACATGCAACGACAATTAAGAAAAATCTCAAATTTTCATCAAAACTCTAAAAAACACCAAA